TATATATATGTATATATATATATATATATATATATATATATATATTTATATTATTGTGTAGTAAACAATTAGGGATGTCCGAAACTTTTTGCCGATATGCCGATATTGTCCAAACACTTAATTTCCACACTTCTACACTTATTTTGTGTAACTTATTATATATGTCCCTTTGTTCCATACTATTAGTTTGTCAACATACATATACATATATACATATAGGCTTATTTCTTCTTTTTTTTAAGTCACATTTTAAAATGAACTTTATAAGTTTTGTTGTATGGTAAACATTAAAATGGTACCATTTTAAAACGATTTAATTCCCACCAATCATATCAAAGGTCAGTGGTGCTAAAACTGTTCTAAATATGTTTTTTTGTTTTGTTGCTTTTACAGTGAGATGGAGCTAACATACTCACTGCAGATTCTTCAGGAGCTGGAGATGTGCATCAAGGACCATGGGCCCAATCCATTCACCTCTCTTAAACCAGAGCAGGTCCAGGCGTCACCCAATAAAACCCCAGTCTACTGCAACTCCCACTATGTCTTCTTCCAGGGACTGAACCAACAAGAGGGATTGGAAGACCCACTTGGGGACAACTAAAGGGAACAGGGAAAAAACAAAAGGATTTTTTTGTCCTGAATAAAGGAGACAGTTACATTCTTATTTATTTCAAATATTTCAATATTCCTCCATCTAGCCCAGGCATGGGCAAACTAAGGCCCGGGAGCTGGATGCGGCCCGTTCAGCTTTGTAATCCGGCCCTCCAAACTTGGCCAAATTCTATAATTGGTTTGTATTGTGATTATATTTCTGCCTTTTCCCCTGCAATGCCCACATTTTCCCTGTAGATGGCGTGGAGAAGGTTAAAAATAGATGCATAAAAGCATCTATATAAAAAGGGAGGAATCACCCCCACTACAGGAACCACGACTCTGAGCACTGAATGTTGATTGGTAATATTTATAATTAGAAGCAACTAAAAGGACTGAATGGCGACATGACACTCTGTTGTATTTTCCCTAGAGACCAAACATTTTATGCAACCCCTCAAAAAGACTATATTCATAGTGATATCCATGACACTAGATATTTTGAAAACTTTGAGAATTTCATAAAAAATTAATCATGAAAATGTTGTGTTTTATTTTGCTGTGTGGAGTATGTTAACACTAATTAATTTCCTTTCGTATTTTTAGTGTCTTCTTCAAAAACAACTATTAAGTTAAAAACAACAACAACAGCCAAAAACCCATTCATAGAGTAAACCAAAAACAACTACAATGTTAGCAAAAAATAACTATGAAGTTAGCAAAAAACCACTACGGAGTTAACAAAACACAACTTTGTAGTTACCAAAAAAAAAAAAACTACCAAACTATGATATTAACAAGAACAATTTTGATTTCAGAGTTAACCAAAAACAACTATGATGTTAGCAAAAAAACAACAACTACTGTATGATGTTAGCAAAAAACAACAACTAGGCAGTTAGCCAAAAGCCCATCTATAGAGTAAACCAAAAACAACTACAATGTTAGCAAAAAATAACTATGACGTTAGCCAAAAACCCATCTATTGAGTTAACCAAAAACATGTTAGCAAAAAACAACAACAACTATCAAGTTAGCAAAAAACAACGGTATCGTTGGCAAAAACAACAAACAAACAAAAAAAACAACAACAACTTTGCATTTAGCCAGAAAAAGAGCACTTTAAAGTTAACAAAAAACAACTATGAAGTTAGCTAAAAAAAACAACTAAAAACATTTAAAGAAAATTATGAGTGGGTGCGAACCAATGTGCGTGTAATGTGCTATGTTGTCATTAAATTTGTATTGATATTCACTGTCAATATGAATTGATAGTAAATATGGATTGTCATTACGTCCACATTTTAAGGCAGTTCAAATCTCCTAGGGAAGAGTGAATGGACAGGACAGAGAGAGAGAGAGAGAGAGAGAGAGAAAGAGACAGCGTGACAGAGTAAACGATGGGAATGCACAGGTGCTAAGAGTTGTGGGGCAGCAGTATTTGTAGGCTGCTCGGATAACAACCCAAAGGAGAAGCAAACCGAGAAGCACGGACGGAGACAGTGTGAGACTCACAAATGACAGAAAATCAGCGGTAAGACGCTTTCACGTCACTTTCAATTCATACATACAGTATTTCTTCTTCTCTTGTCACTTGGTGAAAATAGTACACCTAGACTTATAATCTAATACATGCAAAACAATCAGCGTTGCATTGGGTTGCCAAGTATGAACTAATATGTGTGCCCAAAATATGTGCATGGTACTTAAATACCATGTGAATATATCAATGATGTCAATGAAACCTTCACTTAATACTTTGCAAAGAACCTCCCAGCAGCTCATACCATACATAGTTTGAGCAGAACTTGATAAAATAACCCTTACTTGATGAACCTTTTGTCAGAATGAGTGCGTAAATGCAGGTGACATTTACATTCTGACTAAATCTGGATGTTGGTTCCAAATTCGAGCTGTAAATTCCCTTCTTGACTCGAAGTGCGTTATGGGTACACACAATTGACACTATATGTCACTTTAAGCACTTTCTGCAAATCAGTACAAATAATTGTATGTTCGTTATTTTCACAATTTGATTCCAACATATGTAACGTGTGAAGTCAGGGTAATTCTCAATTCTCTTTCTTTAATTATTATATGCTTAATTTTGTATTTTTTTGTTTTTGTTTTTTCTCAGAGATGCACCACAGGCCAAGGACAAACCCTTGGCCTTTCGCTCTCAGAAGGAGATGTTTGATCAAATGGAGGAAACCTTTAAAACATGTGCACATTGTGAGAAAAAGCCAAACCAACTGTCGAACCCACGGAGCCTAAAGCGCTGTGCAAGGTTGATACGCTAT